CCCTGACACATGCTAGGGACTGACATCAACAATAGCGCTTCTTTTACTCTCACAATCTCTCCAGGGTACCCCAGACCCTTTTTTATCCAACCCACAACAAAGCAATAAAGGAAACACGACAAGCCATACACCTTGAAGAAACACTCACTTTATTGATCTTTATTGACTGACTTTTTAGCCACGCTCACTAGCAGAAGGATATAAGGGTAGATTTAGATTTTTTGCGTCTAAATGTCCCATGCCTCTAAAGCCCAATCTGAGTTAGGATCGTGCTACATACATATACTGTATGTTGAAATGCGTTTCTATCACAAAAATCTGAAGAATATATTTTAAAAATATATATTTTTAAACATATATTTTTTAAAAATATATTCATTAGATTTTTTTTTAACATATAAAAAAGTAATTTTAACATATATTTTTGCATATATTGGTAAATGCATTCCAAAAATGTAGATTTGTAGTTTTAAAGACACAGTATATTTGAAATGTATTTTTAAAAATATTTTTCATATATTTTGTAATAAAAACGCATTTCAACATACAGTATAGAGTTATTAAAATATATTGAATATGGCCAAATTTGTAGCATTTCAAATATATGTCAATATATTTGGGAAGAATATTTTTAAAATATATTTTTCTTCCATGTGGGTCCCAAGAAAAAAAAAAAAAAAAACCTCTCTACCTCTCTAGCAATACCCACCAAACTGAGCATGTGCAGGAGGACTACGGGTTCAGTCTGTCTTATCAGCGTAGACATTTGTACAAGAGGAGGGGCAGAGAAGACAGGATGAAACAGCCTTTTTACACAATGCAGAGGATTAACCCCTTAAGTTCCACAGTGAGTATAAAAAAAAAACCTCCCTAGCAATACACACCAATCTGAGCATGTGCATGCCTACGGTTCAGTCTGGATATAAGAGGTGGTTGCTTGAAAAAGGGAAGGAACAGAGAAGACAGGATCAAACAGCTGTTTTATACAATGCAGAGGATTAACCCCTTAGGATCCACAGTGAGTATAACCAGCGTGCTTTACTGCATATACAGCCTGATTTTACTGTTGTGGGTTTAGTAACACTTTAACATAATGAAATACAACTGAAAAACAAACTGCACACGGGATCACAAAGAGCGCCTTCGGATTAATGCAGATTGGTTTCCTTAGACTTCTTCCTATGGTAGCCATACACATTACAATCTGCTCTAATTATTCGTCACAGAATCAGATAGTATAATCAGATCTCTGGATTATTAAACAGTCACCCACTATGCCAGCGATGGATTTCCAGTAAAACCGGTCAACTTATCCAAATTATTCTGATCGGTCTGGACAGAAAATTCAATCACAGGAAGTAGATCATTCAAAATGATTGATGAGCAAATGGCACCTAGAACAATCTTTATGACCTTCCATTTGTATTTGCGATTAGACTATGAATCTATATAAATCTCATGTATAATCAGTCTATGTGTGGCCACAAATGACCATAAAGCTGGCCATACGCTAGAATTGTGTTTTAAAAGTCCAATTTTAAAATCATTAGTGGGGTCAATTCGAAAGAGCAGAATGGAATTATTTTTTCAAACACATGAATTTCAAATGGTGAATGTGGGTTTCATTCAGGAAAGTCAATTTTATTCCAAAAAAAATCACTTGAGCTTGGGAAGGGTTTTACCCCCCTCATGAACCTGGTGTGTAATACCTTTCTGCTATTTAGCACTGCGTTACTATACACTGTACCCCAATGACATTTATATCAATTTATTTCACACAAGTCGAGCTTTCTTATCGTGGTACTTAATCATCACTGTTATTTTTTGTGATATAAAGAAAAAAGAACAGGAAACGTTGAAAAAAAACCCCAAAACAAAACAATATTTTTTACTTTCTGCTATAAATCATATCTAATAAAAAATGTTACAAAAAAAAAAATCAAATTTCTTCATAAATTTTGGCCAAAATATATAATGCTATACGTCCAGGGGTGGACTGACAACTCATGGGTCCCCCGGGCAATAGGGGATCATGGGGCCCCTGTGTCCTTGCCCAAACTCAAAAAAGCCTATGAAAAAGGTACCAGGGGCATCTCATGGGGCCCCCTACTGACCCCGGGCCCTCGGGCAGTGCCCGAGTTTCCAAATGGTCAGTCCGCCCCTGTATACATCTTTGATAAAAAAAAATCCCAATAAGTGCATATTGATTGATTTGTGTGAAAGTTATAGTGTCTACAAACTATGGTACATACTGTATATATATTGGGATATTTATTTATTACCAACTATTGGCGGTGATCAGCAATTTATAGTGGGACTGCAGTAGTGCAGCAGGCAATCTGACACTAACTGACACTGGGGGGAACTGACTAACTGACACTAACGTCGCCAGTGACACGAATACAACGATCGGTGATAATATACACTGTCACTGACTAACTGACACTGATATCGCCAGTGACACGAATACAATGATCTGTGATAATATACACTGTCACTGACTAACTGACACTGATGTCATCAGTGACATGAATACAATGATCGGTGATAGTATACACTGTCACTGACTAACTGACACTGACGTTGCCAGTGACATGAATACAACGATTGGTGATAATATACACTGTCACTGACTAACTGACACTGACGTCGCCAGTGACACGGATACAATGATCGGTGATATATACACAGTCGCTGACCAACTGACACTGACAGTGACACGGATACAATGATATGTGATAATATACACTGTCACTGACTAACTGACACCGACATTGCCAGTGACACGAATACAATGATCGGTGACAATATACACTGTCACTGACTAACTGACACTGACATCGCCAGTGACACGAATACAATGATCAGTGATAATATACACTGTCACTGACTAACTGACATTGATGTCGCTAGTGACACGAATACAATGATCTTTGATAGTATACACTGTCACTGACTAACTGACACTGACATTGCCAGTGACATGAATACAATGATCGGTGACAATATACACTGTCACTGACTAACTGACACTGACATCGCCAGTGACACGAATACAAGGATCGGTGATAATATACACTGTCACTGACTAACTGACACTGACATCGCCAGTGACACGAATACAAGGATCGGTGATAATATACACTGTCACTGACTAACTGACACTGACATCGCCAGTGACACGAATACAACGATCGGTGACAATACACACGGTCACTGTACCAAGGACACTGGCTGGGAAGGGGTTAACATCTGGGGTGAACAAGGGGTTACATGTGTAATATGTGTAAAGTGTGCTGCTTTTACTAAAAGATCTCTTTGTTTCCTATCCCAGCTTTGCAGGGATTAGAAACAGAGAGAGTGTTTCTCTGTACAGAGCCCTGTGTTGATTGTCAAAAGAGAGCTCTGGACTGTGATTGGACACAGCTGATCAGCAGGTCCCCACCTGCTGACAGACTCCTGCAGTGTACAATCACAGCGGGGGTCAGTGGGGGGCATCCAGCGTACTAGTCCATTGCCGTTCCAGAAGGGGTTAAAAGAAAACTTTTTAAAGAATTTTAAAACGACATTTGTCAAGTCACTGAATGCATCCGGGACAATTCTCTTATGAATGTTCAAAAATCTATTAGAGCCGTTTGGCACCAGAACTTGCTTGGTTTCTGCGCATTTCTGCATGCTCACTGATGTGCATTTGCGGTGCATTTTTCCAAAGCTTGCATTTCCTTTGAGGTCACTTCCGTCTTCTTTGAGCTTTTATGTGCACTGCATTGCATTTTTATGCATTTCTGTGCATTTGCAGTGCGGAAAAATGCAGCTTGCTGTCCTTTTTTTCAATGCACTGCACTGACCTGCAATACATAGTTACATAGTTAGTCTGGCTGAAAAATGACAAAAGTTCATCCAGTTCAACCATTAAAAAAAAAAAAAGTTATAATCCTGCACCCACAGTTGAACCAGAGGAAGGCAAAAAACCCAGCAAAGCACGATCCAATTTGCTCCTGCAGGGGAAAAAATTCCTTCCTGATCCCCCGAGAGGCAATACAGTGAACTATGCCCATGGGATAACCTGGATTTTGGGCTGTGGGGTGGGGGGATTTACTAAAACTGGAGCACTCAAAATCTAGTGCAGCTTGGCATAGTAGCCAATCACCTTCTACCTTCAGCTTGTTCAGTTAAAGTGTTACTAAACCCAGAAACCCAGAACCAGGGGTGGACTGACAACTCATGGGGCCCCCGGGCAATAGGGGATCATGGGGCCCCTGTGTCCTTGCCCAAACTCAAAAAAGCCTATGAAAAAGGTACCAGGTGCATCTCATGGGGCCCCCTACTGACCCCGGGCCCTTGGTCAGTGCCCGAGTTTCCAAATGGTCAGTCCGCCCCTGCCCAGAACTGTACAATCAGTCTGTATATGCAGTAAAGCATGCTTGTTATATTCACTCTGGAACATAAGGGCTTAATCCTTCACATTGTGTAAAAAGACTGTTTGATCCTGTCTTCTCTGATCCTCTCCTTCTTCTATTGTCCCCAATCCATCTGCTGATAGTATGATACTACAGAGGTCTAGTAGTCACTCTACACATGCTCAGTTTGGTGTGTATTTCTAGAGAGAGTTTTTTTTTTTTTTTTTTTTTCTTGAGAGAGGGCATGTGATCAGTACAGGGCCAATTAACACTGTCCAGACAGAGGTCAGGGGTTCTGCAACCTCCTAGAGCAGAATGAAAACTCCTCCTTTAAACTTTAACCAGTGCTCTGCTTTACACTGACAGAAGTCACAAGACTGCTATATACTGCTCATAAGAAAAGGTATTTAGCAGTTTATATTTACTAAAATAATTGCATTTCCATGTTCTGTGTACTGTGAGAGAACAGATATAGTGAATGCAGGGTCCAGGGAGACCAGATATAGTGAATGCGGGGTCCCGGGGAGACCGAATATAGTGAATGCAGGGTCCGGGGATACCGAATATAGTGAATGCAGGGTCCGGGGATACCGAATATAGTGAATGCAGGGTCTGGGGAGACCAGATATAGTGAATGCAGGGTCCGGGGAGACGGATATAGTGAATGCAGGGTCCGGGGAGAGCGGATATAGTGAATGCAGGGTCCTGGGAGACCGATATAGTGAATGCAGGGTCCGGGGAGACCGGATATAGTGAATGCAGGGTTCAGGGAGACCAGATATATAGTGAATGCAGGGTCCAGGGAGACCAGATATAGTGAATGCAGGATCCGGGGGAGACCGGATATAGTGAATGCGGGGTCCGGGGAGAGCGGATATATTGAATGCAGGGTCCGGGGAGAACCAGATATAGTGAATGCAGGGTCCAGGGAGACCAGATATAGTGAATGCAGGGTCCAGGGAGACCAGATATACTGAATGCAGGGTCCGGGAAGACCAGATATAGTGAATGCAGGGTCCGTGGAGACCAGATATAGTGAATGCAGGGTCCGGGGAGACCAGATATAGTGAATACAGGGTATGGGGAGACCAGATATAGTGAGGGTAATGCAGGGTCCTGTAATGCAGGGTCCTGGGTTTAGTAACAATTAAAAAAATGCCTTTTGTTTACATTTTTTTTTTCATACCTGATCACATAGTCTCTGGTCTCAGCTGCATATGGGGCTTAGAGAGCTGGGGATGGAGAAACAATGGCACACTAATCTTCCTAGTGAATGGCTTCACAGGCGTGGAACAAGTGTAATCATTGGAGGACAGGCAGGCTGTTCTCCCAGCACAGCCAGAAAACTGACCACGTTTGAAAGGATGTGCTTCAAAGCCTAGTGTGGTCAGTTTGGAACAGGAAAGTGGGAGGGGGGGCAAAAATAATTTCTGGTAAATGAGGACACAAAAAGAGAACAGTATACTTTTTAACACAAGTACATGGTGCAAAAGACACAGGAATCTGAAATGTTGGTAATACATACACTTTAGATTGACAAATCTGACAGAAGCTCTAACCATTGTTTGAACTGCTAAAAAAAAATGTTTTGGCTGGATTTCTACAGTTCTACTTTCATTCTGCTGCATGGATCCTCTGAAGATGCTGTTTACAGTGAAACGCGCTAGGGCAGGGCGGAATCCAGCAATGCTCATCCTTTGTTATATGTTTTTGTCTTTTTATTGTAAGAACATTTCCATAATAAAAGCCCTTGGTTTTACCATACTGCACCATGGTGGCCCCTTCTTGTTTACCTCCTCGGTGCTGAGTACACGTACACAGGATCGTATCCAAATGCAGTGGAGTCAGGGGTGGACTGACCAATTGGAAACTGGGGCACTGCCCGAGGGCCCGGGGTAAGTAGGGTGCCCCATGAGATGCCCCTGGTACCTTTTTCATAGGCTTTTTTGAGTCTGGGCAAGGACACAGGGGCCCCATGATCCCCTATTGCCCGGGGGCCCCATGAGTTGTCAGTCCGCCCCTGAGTGGAGTGTCCAGGGGCGGACTGACCATTTGAGCACTCGGGCACTGCCCGAGGGCCCGGGGTAAGTAGGGGGCCCCATGAGATGCCCCTGATACCTTTCATTGGCTTTTTCATAGGCTTTTTTGGGTGTGGGCGAGGACACAGGGGCCCCATGATCCCCTATTGCCCGGGGTCCCCATGAGTTGTCAGTCCGCCCCTGAGTGGAGTGTCTACAGGGGGCCCCATTTTCGGGCACCCTATAAGTGCCCTGAGGGATACCCATGACTTTTTCATCTAGGCTTTTTTGGGTGTGGGCGAGGACACAGGGGCCCCATGATCCCCCTATAATTGCCCGGGGTCCCCATGAGTTGTCAGTCCGCCCCTGAGTGGAGTGTCTAAATATTTTGTGCTGTGAGACTGCAGGGCACTCCATGATCTCTATGTGGGATCAGTGTCTCTGGTAAGGAGTTCACCTTACATGTGGGTGCTGGGATTTCCTGACACCCTGAATGCTCTCCGTCTGACACCTGTACAAGTGTGGATTCCTTTCCTTTGGGATTTTCCATCTTGATTATGGACTGTTCACCAGGATATTTATTCATCTGTACCGACATTTTGCACATTTATTTGCTTTATTCATCTTCAACTTCAATATTTATGTTTGTCATTAACTTTTGTCCATACAGTGGATAGAAAAAGTCTACACACCCAGGGGCGGACTGACCATTTGGAAACTCGGGCACTGCCCGAGGGCCCGGGGTCAGTAGGGGGCCCCATGAAATGCCACTGGTACCTTTTTCATAGGCTTTTTTGAGTTTGGGCAAGGACACAGGGGCCCCATGATCCCCTATTGCGCGGGGGGCCCCATGAGTTGTCAGTCCGCCCCTGTACACACCCCTGTTAAAATGTCAGGTTTCTGTGATGTAATGGGTGTAAGTTTGTGTTTAGTATGTTTTGATATTTTTAATCAATAATTAGAAGTTGCATGTTCAAAGTTAGACATGTGCAAAAAACAAAAAAAATAGTTTTTTTCTGTTTCATTTCAAAATCTAACAAATTTCGTACTGTTGGATTCAATACATTTGTTTAGTTCGTTTTCAGGATTGGTTTCGGTAACTCGTATTTAAATTCAATTCAAAAACATTTCGACCCAATTTGAAAAGTCGTTTGTATTCGAAATTGGTTCAACGGAATTTGAAATTGATTCAACAAAATTCGAAAAGCCGTTCGAAATCTAGAAGGTTTCAACCGAATTCGAAAAAAAATCGAAAAATAACAGGGAGCAGGGAACCTGTCCTTAAAGCGGAACTTCCCCTTTGGGGTGGAGCTCCTCTTTAACCTCCCTGGAGGTATTCCCGAGTGTAGCTCGGGGTAAAGTTTCAGTACCAAAAGCGGTAACCCCGAGCTACACTCGGGCTTACCATGCGGCGCTGCTCCAGGATCCCTTCTTCACTTACCTTGTCCTGTGCTCCCGCGATGTCCCTCCTGCAGTGTCCCCGGCAATGTCCTCCGGCGGATGCCGGCATCTGTCTTCTGGGTTCCGTCCCCCTGAGAGCGTCAGGATGTACGGGGGATGGAACGGCGGGAAATTTTAAAATGACAAAAAGTGACATTCACTAAATACACTAAAATCACTAAAATCACATAGTATAACATTCCTGTATCAAACCATTTCACATACATATTGTCCCGAGTGCTTTGTCCGGCGCCCTGCCTGCATTTTTACTGTTCTTTCTGCCTGGAAACTGAGAAACGTCCATGGCGTCCAAAAAGTGTCCCTTTAGGTCAAAAGCAGTTTTAGACCGGCTAGAGAACAGCGATAGTAAATCAGAACCACTTGCAGAATTGAGTGATAATGATTCGTGGGGGAAATTCCTCATCAGACACTGAAAACGATTCTGCGACTTTGCTCAGCGATGTGCGAACTTGGCGCTATATTTCAAATTTCTGTGTTTTTGGTTTGATTATATTATTGAATTAAATTTATTATTATATTATTATTTTTTATGATTATTTATTAAATTATAATTTATGATTTAGTGTTTCAAATTTTATCATACCCGGGATGTTTACTAGACTCTTGTTCGGACAGATTTCAGTGAGTTATTCCTAAAAAAAAACAGGCCTACAATAAAAAAAACGACATATTTCCATGCAAAAAAATGTACCGCTTTGAGCACAGAAATATGGACATAATCAGACCGCTAGGGAGGTAAAATTTGTTTTCGAAAGTTTGTTCAAATTTGTTTTTGATTTTGTTTTCGAATTCAAATTTGTTTTCAAATCTAATTTCAGTCGAATTTTGATTCTTTGTGATGTTATTTTTATTTCTATTATTGCATATATTGAGCTCACAATATCTATTTTCTCTATAATAATAATATGGTTTGATATTGTACGCACAATTGCACTTTGGAATTTTTAACCATTTCAATACTGGGCAATTTATCAGGTTTCAGCGCTCTCACACTTTGAATGACAATTGCGCGGTCATACAACATTGTACCCAAACTAAAATTTTAGCATTTTCTTCACACAACTAGAGCTTTCTTTTGGTGGTATTTAATCACCGCTGGGGTTTTTATTTTTTGCTAAATTACAAAAAAAAAGACCAAAAATTTGAAAAAAAAAAGCTTTTCTTTGTTTCTGTTATAAAAGTTTGCAAATAAATAATTGTTCTTCATAAATTTAGGCCGAGATGTATTCTGCTCCGTGTCTTTGGTGAAAATAACCTAAATTAGGATGTATTATTTAGTCTGTAGGAAAGTTATAGAGTTCACAAACTATGGGATAGATCTGAATATTGATCAATCCTGAAGTACTGACAGCCAATCTAATTTCTTGAGGTCCAAGAATGTCAGGACAGTACAGATATCCCCCAAATGACCCCTTTTTGCAGAGTAGACAGTCCGACGTACTTCATAAGAGGCATGGCGAGTTTTTTGAAGTTGTATTTTTTTTGTCATAATTTTTCGGAAAATGAAAAAATTCAAAAAATTAGTTTCACTATTTTTTTTTTTACATACTGTCACCAGTGCAGTACAGCGTCATCGTATAACTGGCATGGCGGTGATCAGGGACACTGACTGGTGACAGTATGAAAAAAAAAAAAAAAATATATATATATATATATTTTTTTTTTTTTTTTTATTAAATTCTTTTTCTTTTTTTTAAGATTTTTTTTTCATATTTTACTATGACCAAAGTAGTACAATGTTACCATAGTAACATTGTACTACTTTGGGGAAGTGATCAGTATTTTTTTTTTTTTTTTACACAATTTGCTTAAAGCAAAGAATTAGGCTGGCCATACATTATACAATTATCTGGAGACTTTTGGTTTAGATTTACCAAAAACCATATAATAGGAGGACAAACCTAAACAACACTTTCATTTGTATCCAATTAGGCAGGCCCTTGCACTACACAGTTGAAGGTAAATCTAAAGGAAATTGGGCAGAAAATTGGGAGATAATTGTATAATGTATGGCCAACCTTACTTTGCTATAAGTAAGCATTTACCTGAATGACATCGATTCATTCAGGGTTTTTTTTTTTTTTTTGTGCTTAATGAAACAAAATTTGATTCAAAAAACAAATTTGAATTCAAAAACAAAATTGAAAACATATTTGAAAACAAAACCGAACAAACAATCGAAAATTTTTTTTTAAAGCGGAGCTCCACCCAAAAGGTGAAGTTTCACTTTAAGGACTGGTCCCCCCGTCCCTGTTATTTTTCAAATTTTTCTCAAATTCGGTTGAAATCTTTTAGATTTCGAACGGCTTTTTGAATTCTAATGAATCAATTTCAAATTCAGTTAAGCCAATTTTGAATACGAACAACTTTTTGAATTGGGTCTAAAATTGAATTTGAATACGAACCAAAAACGAATTTATCGAATCCAACTACACAAAATTTGTTAGATTTTGAAATGAAACTAAACACAT